AGAGGAAAAATAACAGGTTACATGTAGAAAGTGCTCACCGCATTACACGTATTAATGTATTCAATCTTCACAACAATCTTCTAAAATAGGTACTTTTATTACCTCCATTTCATGGCTAAGGAAAATGAAATAGAGAGGATAAATAACTTGCCCAAAGCCATACGGCTTAAAAGGGCAGCGCCTGAATTCTAATCCAACCCGTCCAGCTCTAGTGTTTGTATTAACCACTAGGCTTGTTTCTCATGATAATGAATTACCTTTGAAGCTACAGAATGAACCAGGAGCACAAATGAAAAGGCATAAGGACTTTTTAATCATCCGATACTTCATTTATTCATTCAGCAAATTCATTCATTCAACAAATCTTTATTGAGCATCTACTATGTGCTAGGCCCTTTTTTATACACTGAAGATTACAGGCAGGTGGGATCCCTACACATCTGAAAGAATAAATAAATGTATTGTATGGCCTAAAGCCACACAGTATGGATTTGGTAGGCCCAAAGCACTGTACCTTTGGAGCCCATGTTCTTCCACATGTATGACTATAATTATATCTCTGATGAAGAGTTTCCAAAACATTATCATTAACACACCAAAGCTCCAGGATCCAGTGGAGACTGGGATGAGGCAGCCATGCTGGAGGGAAGAACTAGTGAAAGACAAGCAAACGAGAGGTTGCTACTGCCTGGGTTCGTGACAGTGACATAGACTGTCTGGGCCCAGTGTGCACCTCAGGAAAATGAGGACGTTGCACTGACTACCTCTAAGGCTCAGCTTTAGGATCTAGGATCCCAGGCAGAACCAATGCCACGCTCAGGAACAGCACATGACAGCCATGCTCAGCCTGATAGCAGCAGTAGCCAGGGCGGCCCAGGGAATGCCACGCGATACTGCAGAATAATTTATCAGTTCTTGGCATCGACCATCTTCCTGAGAGACATCCAGGAAACACCCAGACTCATGCTGCTCTCCAGCCTCTACAAAATGTGTGTGTATGTGTGTGTGAGTGTGGGGGGGGGGAGCGGGGGGTTTCTGCTTGGAGGGCACCAGGAGACCAACAAGCAGAGGCAATGCAGGTTTAGGCAGGCCCAGAGGGCGAGAATTGCCTTATGTACTCCTGATGTTAGGGTAGGATGCTGAGTCGGCAAACCCAGGGTCAGAAAAAGAGCTGTATTCCGTAGGAAGGGAGGACTGCTCCTCTTCTCCCAGGAAGGCCCCTGGGATCCTTGCCAGACTTTTGGTTCTAGCTGGGCCTCATGAAATATCAGGCAGGTTTATCACTATTTATAAAAACTGGCACATGACTGAGTACAGAACTGAAACTCAGATGCCAAGTGACCGGAAGTGTTCTTAAGAGAGAAAGAAGGGATTTGGGTGAAGAAAGGGATGCACACATGTACTTAGAACGTGATTTCAGCACACTCTACCGTAGCCCTATCCCCACTCGTTGGTTATACCAAACCTCTAGCCAGGTCCTGCCCCGGATACCAGCACTTGCTGTCAGGTACAAACACCATCTGAGCTCTTCCTGCATTAGGCAATATCTCAAACCCTGACTCCCACTGTTGTAGAAAAAAAGGCCTTCCTTACAAAAAGTGCTTTGAATTTCCTTTACTACCTCCCCTTAACCTGACACATTTCAGTATCTACCTTCCCCTCCCGTGTGGCTTAGCGTTTCAAACTTCCTATTAAGGAGCAGTACCTGGATTTGAATTTTATCCCCTCTCTTCCTCAGTTATTCCGATAGAGTTAGGTTAAAGATGTTAAGCCAAACTGTCCAAAAATTAGAGTGAAGCCAAAATCCACCTAATGACTAATATGAACTGTGACTGTTCGTACACAAGGCCAACTTTCTGATCTGCAAGAATCCTCAGCCGAAAGGCTTCGGCCCCCATAGTTGGCACTGGGGAAATGGAACCGACAGTAGCAATTTCAAAGCATTGTTCAAAGGGGTTCCAGTATGCTCTGAACTGTGAATAAAGAGATGTTTATAGGATAAAATAGATCTCTTCTTTCCTAGATTTAATTCAAAACTAAAATGTAGAAGTTAGTTCAAATTTGAGTGACATAATCTCACTCGCCTTGACAAGTTAAGAAAAACTTTTAAATTCTACAAAAATTATAGAGAAAAATAAAACAAACAAAAAAGGCAACCATTGGCAATACTAGGAAGCGGAAGAGGCTGAACTGCAAGGTTTGATTACCTGCACTGGTGTCATGCCCTGCCCCTGGGGTGCCCCGCACTGTGGTAGAAAACCTAACCCAACACACTGTCCTGTCCAAATTCACCATTCTGTGCCCAGTGGAGATCAGGTATATTACAAAATGAACATGAACTAGAGATATTGGAATCGTAATCAGAGATGCTTAGAGACCTAATACTTGAAATAAACCAAAGGGGTGGACCTCAAACACAATTCAGACAGCTGGGGAGATATTTTAAGATCATTACCCCCAGATTTGAATCTCCTGTTATGAAATTCTAATTGGCAGATTCATTTCCCTACTTAACAGGGCTTTTGCATTGTCCTCTCTGCCGTAAATTAACCTACTGACTGAGGACATATAGAAAGTGCCAGTTGTGTGTGTTTCAAATACTGTGGACAAAAGTCTCTGAAACCTACGAATTTCTGTGGTAGATACAATGCACTAGTTTCAAAGGGGTTTTGTAGCAAGATGAAGGAAATTTGCAGAGAAGCTTGCAAATAGCTTGCCAAATTTCAGCTTGGGACAATTTTATTATTTTTCATTTACCAACCTAGAAATGGGTTTATAACAGAAATTCTTAGTGATAGCTTCTCTGCAGGGAACCACAGCAGCTGGCACACAACTAACTCACTGTCCCTCTGGAGTGGACTGTTATGTCCAAGTTCTGGTCTTTGAAAAACTTGATTTGTAACGACTGAAGCCTAACCTGCCTGGAGTGCTCAGACGAGAATAAATTAACTTCGCCTGGCCAAACCAGCAGTCCCAGTACTGAGCCAGAAAGTAGTGGCTGTTAGAAGTTAGAAAGAAAGCAAAAAGGAAAGCAACAGTGCCTTCATTATACTATTAAACCATAATCACCTTTTCCTATAAGCATCTTCCTGTTTTCCCTAAAGGGGCACTGTTTAACTGCCACTGGTACAGAGGTGCCAACTCAGCAGAGAGCACTTCCTGTGGGTTTTTTGGCTGTGACAGGCCCACTGACCTAGGCAACGGCAGGCTGTGAGGGAGCCACCGTCCTGACAGAGGGCTGGGACTGAGGCTCCTGGATAAGGAGCGATGTTGATTTCCTTTTCTCGGGGCCAGGAGTAGGCTGAGACAAGAGAGGTGTCTAGGACACAAGATTTAAGGTTTTCACTCTGAGGGTCATGCAAGTGGCTCTTTTACCCTAGTGCCAGGCGTGCTCAGGGTCACCAGCAGAGGTGTGTGCATGTGTGTACACACATTGTAAAGGTCAGCAGTTCTCAAAGTGTGGTCCCCAGACCAGGAGTAGCAGCAGTACCTAGGAATTTCTTAGAATTGCAAATTCTCAGGTCCCGCCCAGGCCCACTAAATCAGAATCTCAAAGGGAATGGCCCAGCAATCTGTGTCTTAACACATCGACGGGGTAATTCTGATGTAGCTAAAGTCTGCAAAGCACTGTGCTAGAGAATAATGCTTTCCAAAGTCACATGGCCTGTGTCAGGCCACCTCTCAAAATGCTTCACATACAACAAGAACAGGGAAAGTGGTGGGGTGGTGAGATGAAAGAAATTTTCTAAGGCCATTAGCCAGGTAGGAATCCCTCAGCTAATAAAGCAGAAATTGCTTTTTCCCAACTAACCCTAAGTAAACTGTAGTAGACAAGACTTGGCAATTGTTGGCAATAAATGAATATTACGACTGAGCTAGTTCCCTCCTGTTTCTTCCTCTAACTAGACAGCTCAGAGCTGGCTATTTAAAGATATCATGTGATGTGGGCCGGCCATTTGAATATTCTAAGATTGAGATTCCCTCATGTGAAAAATGGGGTTAACACCACCTACCTGTGAAGGGCTGAAAAGCTAATGTATGCAAAGCCCCAAACAGAAGCCTGGGGCAGAGTAAACTGTGATGACTGTTTCTACATCCTAACCAAAGGTACTGGCCTCCACTCTTCTCCAGGGATGATTGAAGGCCTTAAGACAACTGACAGGACGTTAGCTAGTCTCTTTAATGCTGCAGCGTTTTTTAAACGAGGCTCTTTCCCAATCCAAATGACATCAGTCTGCTAAAGCGGATGACACAAGTGAGGGAGAAAGGAAAGGAGAAGGGACACCCAGTGCCTGCTGTTGGGCACTAAAGAACCACTTATTTTTACTAAATAAGTGAAGCGTAAGAAGATATATCTGAAGACCCTCACATTTAACTTTGTCACTAGACCCCAAATGATATGTAGTGGTGAGGCCACAACCAACACCAGTCAGCTGAGTGACCTTAGACATAAGGTAACGGACTTGGTTTCCTCTTTTGCCAACTGCCAGATTATAAATACAACATGAGGATGAGGATGAGATCATGCAACAAAACACTGTCAGGCACAACATAAATGTGAGGTCTTAGCGTTGAGGTCCCATCACAGAATTACGGAACCATTCGCACAGGGTGGGAAGAGAACTAGCCCCATCCAACTTTCCCAGCTCACAAAGGTGTCCATTGAGAACCAGAGAGGATAATGACCTACTAAGGGCACACAGATGGTGGGTAACAATCATGAGCTGTGCCTCCTTTCTCCCTTCCATTAGAGAGTCTTGGGGGGAGGGGCAAAACCTCGGAGCTTCAATCCACAAGCCAGGTAAACAAAGGATGCCCACGCCCACCCTCATCTCTTCCTTGCGCCGTCCATGCAACACAGTTGAGGTTTGGAAGGAGGATCCATGACGCACACTTTCCCTCCCGAGGGATTTTAACTCCAAGATAACGTTACCCCTGTGAAAGAACCAACCAGCAGGACGAAAGTTCACCTCAGGCCCCAGTGTACTGAGGCCCCTTACCTTCCTCATTTAAAATCCACGGCAGGAACGCAAACACCGAGTCAAAGCCACAGGTGTTCTCTTCAAAGGCACAGGACCCAGCGGGCAGGTCCAGGGCACCGGCAAGCTGCAGGGCTGCGGGCACAAAGTGAGTTTCAGTTCCGGCTCAGGCCCGGGAGCGTCTGCACCAACACGGGGCGCCCCTAGGAAACTACCTGGTGAAAGTGGGGAGAAGGCGTGCAGAAGGGGTAGGAGCGGGATGCACTACCGTCCCCTCCTCTCTTCTCCCCACTCGCATCCATTGCACGAACTGGCGCGCACCCCCCTCGCCACCCCAGACTTGGCTTGGGGTGCGAGATTAGCGGCTGCGAAGAAGGATTCGGAGGCACCCTCGGATGGCCCAGCCCGGGACTGCGAGCCCGGCCACTGGGGCTGCAGGAGAGGGAGAGGGTCATGAGAGCGTCCCCCGGAGGTTCCCCCTTACCTTGCACTGCCAGGAGGACGCCCCTTAACAGCATGGTGGCGCTTCAGGGCGGAGGACCAGAAAAAGGTGCAAGCCGCCAGACCGCTGGGACTAGCAGCTCCCAGTGGAAGGGAGCGTGGGAGGAGGGGGCGCCGGGGACCCAGGGAGGGAGAAGTCGAGAGGCAAAGCGTGCACTCGGAGCTGCCCAACTTTGCAAAGCTCCTGGAGTTTAGAGGAAACCTCAAGCTTCAGAATGGAGAGAGCGGCTCGCTCTGCTGCAGCCACGGATCTGACCGCGTCTCCTACTGAGGCCGGCCCGCGCCGCACAGCTGGTCCTGGGAGAGGATGGGGCTGGGCGGGGAGGAGACAACTGCACACTTTTGAAAAGCCAGCCAGGACTGTCTGGGAGAGGAGAGGTCGGGATGCAGTGCCTCGGCTCAGGGTTTTAAAGCTTGGGACCAGACCCCTTGCAGACACTTGGTGGGGGCAGGCCTTTCAGGAGCCACTCCGCGGGGTTGGGACAGAAGGCCTCCGCCCCGCCCATCTGTGGTGGGAACCAGCTTATTTCTGGGGACGGCCTCCCCGCATCTGGCATGCCGGTCCTGCAGGACTGGCCCTAATTTTAACTTCTCCCCAGAATGGAAGAGAGTGGAATTCTCCTAGGAAAACCTAGAGGAAATTTTGGAAACTGGCGGGGGTTTCAGCATTTATGGCCCAGTTATGCTAACCTTGGAATACCACCCCCTCCCCTTTTTTAGCAGTGGAATGTCTGGCATGCCTGGTGCTCAGCATTCCCTCGGTCCCGGTAAAACGGGGGCATTCCTCTCCAGAGAGCCATGATAAATTAACGGAAGGTTTCTAAATTGGGATGTGGGGCAAGGGGGATGATGATACGGGGGAGGTACCCATGTGCTACAGATCTGCTTGAGCACTAAGTAGGTCTTTGAAAAATGTTCTCTTCGGTAATGAAAGTTGTAGGTTGTCGTTTTGTGTTTTTTTTTTCCGCAATCTTCATTACAATTTCGTGCAGGCAATTTTATGCCTAGGATTGTGGTTCTCGAACTTGAGGGTGCCTCAGAACCCCCTGGAGGACCCCACCATCAGAGTTTCTGATCCAGTCGATCTGGGGTGGGGCCTGAGAATCTGCACATTCCTAACAGGTTTCCAGAGGCTGATACTGATGCTGCTAGTCTGCAACCACACTTTGAGGACCACTGGCCTAACCGATCCCAGTCAGCCATCAAAGCCCTCACCTCACATGCCATCACCTGGTTTACAGATTCTTACTTAACAGGTCCCAACATGAACACCTCGTATTCCTTCTCAAACCTGCCTCTCCTCTACATCTTCCTCTTCTCAGTTCAAAGAACCTTTCTCCTCCAGTCGTTCAGGACAAAAAACTTAGAGTTATCCTTGACTATTCCCTTCCTCTCACGACATGACCAAATTCTGTCAGTTCAGGATTCAGAATATAGCAGGTGCTGACCATGCTCCGTGCCCACCGTGACTGCTCTGATCTAAACAGCCATTGTTGTCACCTGGGATATAACAGCAGACTCCTAATGATGGTCTCCCCACTTCTGCCTTGCCCACCTCCAGTCCATCCTTAACACAGTGGTCAGGGGATCCTTTTAATGCCGAAACTGGGCCATGTCACTTCTTGACTCAAGACTGCTAACAACTTCCAAATCATTTAGCAAACTCCAAACTCTTCACAGTGACCTACTAGGTCTTACAAGACCTGTCCCCACGCCCCTATATCTCTGACCTCATCCATTCTGTTTACTCCGCTCCACCACATGGACCTCTTAGCTGGTCCTCAAACAGTCCAGCTGTGATCTCTGAACTTTTCACTGCCTGTTCCCTCTGCTTAAAATGCTTTTCCCAGAAGAGCCATATGACTCACACCCACACTACCATCAGGTCTTTACTCAGCTGTCACCTTCAGTATTAGAAAACAGCCTTTTCTCTAATAAGAAAAAAGCCCCTGGGGTCCTTTTAAAATAAATTTGGACTCATTTTCCTGAGTTTTCTGTAAGCAATGACTCAAATGATCTACAATTTGTTTAATGTGCATGCATTTATTTGCTTTGCCTCAGGTATTAGCTAATAATAATAAATAACATTTGTTGTGTTTATTATTATAAATTGTTTATAGAGAGAATCTCCTAACTTTCACAACGGCTCTATGGGGCAGATATCATAATTACTTTCCTTTAATAGATGGGGAAACTGAGGTGCAGAGTTCAGTGATAGCAAGTAATAAGAGATAAGACTCAAACCCAGATCTGCTTTTCTCAACCAGTATAGTAGCCTCTCTCCCTTGTCTTATATTTTGATTTCTTGCTCACAGATAGTTCTGAATATCTGATGAATTTCATCAGATTTCCTTAATTAAAAATATTTAGACATATGGATCCAGTTGAAACCTCAAAACATTATTTTCAATGAAACGAGCTTTCAGCAACTGTCAAACTGGTGCTCCTTTTTTTCCAGGTGCCTACAGAGTATTTCAAAGTTTTAGGAATTCCTTAGATTCATTTGCATGTCCCAAATCTTAGGAAAATGAAGAACTTCAAAGCCGTAAAGAAATCTCCAAAATATTTTAAATATTATTTAAAACTTCAAGGCAACATCATTTATTGCCACCTGTGATAAATAGAATCGTCACACATAAATACAAACTTAGCCAGAGTAAAATTTCTATTTCATGTATAATTGCATGATCTCAAAAACAGATGATCTTTTGATATTGGCACCAGTTGTGGTCTCTGGAAAACAGACTGCGATTTGGAGTTTATCATGCAGGGTGTTTACTAGGGAGTGCCCTTGGGGGGAAGCAGGGTTGAGCTGAGGGAGAAGTGACCCAAGCCCTGCAAAGCCTCTTCTCGCCCTAAGGGAACTCCAGAGTTAAAGTGGACCATCAGACTTGTCCCATATTAGGCTGAAATCGCCATATTCTTTGTACCACTGCCTCCCTTGATCCCTGGAAGAGGCCTACATTAGGATGGATGGCTCTAACAAGGTGGCTTTCTGCACTGAGGCTGATCCAAAGGGGACGACAGCTAAAGGCTGTTTGATGACAACACTTCCATCAGCTGGAATGTCAAGTTTTCCTTGAAGGAAGATCTGGACAGCACATCGATGTCTATGACATACAGTTTGCAGAAAAGGGAAAGGGTATTGCACATAAAGAAGGCCAAAGAGGAAATCCAGAAAATCTACAAATTATGTGTGTCAACCTATTTCCTTTTGTCACTAATCATGGAACCACACATGGTCATGCACAGCCTTATCACTTGGAAAAACAGCATCAGGCCCCAAGGTGGAAACTTCCTGGTACTTTTTTCTTCATGATCTAGCTTAATTAAATATGTTCAAATAATGCATGTGTAGTTCTGATTTATAGAAAGCACTCAAAAAACGTTAGTCTTGTGGTGGGTTGAATGGTAGCCCCCCAAAGATATGTCTACAACCTAGAACGTGTAGAGTTTACCTTATTTGGGAAAAGGGGCTACGCAGATGTGATTAAATTAGGGATCTCGAGATGAGATCATCTTGGATTACAGGGTGGACCCTAAATCAATGGCAAGTGTCCTTATAAAAGACAGAAGAGAAGTAACGGACACATGGAAAGATAGAGACAGAGACTGGAGTGATGCAGCCCCAAGCCAAGGAATGCCTGGAAGGAACCGCCTGACACTGCAAGAGCCGAGAACAGATTCCCTCCTAGAGCTCCAAAGGAGTATAGCCCTGCCGACATCATGACTTGGGACTTCTGGCCTCCAGAACTGTGAGAGAATAACTAACTTTCTGTTGTTTCAAGCCACTCGGTTTGTGGCAATTTGTCCTGGCAGTCATGGGAAGCTAATATAGAGAGTGTTATGCATCAGGCAGACACATGCCAGGCACTTTACATGCATTATCTCATTCAATGGATGCATCTTCCCCATGAGGGGGGTACCATTGTTATCTCTATTTTACAGGCGCAGAAACAGGCCTAGGAGAGTCAGTTCACTTGTTCAAAGTCACACATCTTGCCAGTGTGTAGCCAGAATTTGATTGCATATATTACACTAACCCTAAAACAAAAGTCTCTTTCTTTACAAAAACAGCCTATACCACATGCAAGCAAAGTAACCTGCTGTCTCTGTTGGCACCCACACAAGGCTTGCCTCACAGAGCCTGGGCCATTCTTGTGCTCTTCACCCCTCTCCTCTGCATCCTGCTCTCCTTAGGAGCCCTTAATCAGGGCTCCTAAACGAGATCTTGAAGAAGAAAGTACCAGGGGTCCTACTTTTTGATGCATGACTTTTGGTCTGGAGTTCTCCAAATTCTTGCTTTTACGTTTCTAGGTACAAGAAAGGAGGTTGAAACACTGATGCCCCATGTGGGAGCCTACATGATTCTGTTCTCTTTCTTCTCTCATAGCCAGGTGAGACATTAGAACAAGCTTATCTGTAGGAGGAAATAAAGAAATCCAGTGTTTATGATGTTATTCACATGTAGTGCCATTTAACGGTAAGTTCAGCAGACATTTTCTGAGTGCCCCCTATGTGCCAGGGTCTGTGCTCAGGCCTGGAAATCTGGGGGTGAACGAGACACAGTCTCTGCCTCTGAGACAGAAGACTGACCCATGAAAAGACTATTTTAATAAAATATGTCTGTGAGATAGAACAAGAGCTGATGCAAACATAAAAAATCTAGGATCCAGAAAGATAACATAAATGAATCAGGGAGACAATGGGGAGCGATGGGGATGATGGTAAACTAAAGGGCATCACTGGCACCAGCGTGAGGCAAAGCTGCCATGGTGGGACAGAGATCCAGCACTGTCCATTCTGCCCATTTTTCAAAAGAAGCCCAGTGTCCAGATTTACATGTAATCGCTCTTGATTTTTAAATGCTGGCAATTAATCAAAACAAATTATATTTAAAGCTTGTGGGAATAGAACAAAACCCATTGGGAGGTTAAATTCGATTCTTGGGCTGGAGTTTGCAGCACCAAGATAGAACCAAGGAGATGGAGGATGGGATACCTCAGCGCCACCCTTCTGGGGGGCGAGGTAGCCAGGCACGCATGCCCACTCCCATTCTAGAGGAGAGAAAACTGAGGTAGAAAGAGTCTAGATGAATTTTAACCAAGGTCACATGCCTCCAAGTGGAGGGACAGGATGAAATGTCATTAGCTCGCCTCTTGATTGGCTAGTATTTGAGCACGTGGAAAGGACTTTTTAATATTCCAGGTCCTGTACACACGTAAGGCTATTCATAATACCCTTTATAGTAACTATACTTTGGTTGCTTTCTATTATATATTCTGTGTTCTAAAAATTATAATCTATGATATAACCTCTGTTCTATGACAAGACATTGTCTCTGCTGTGGAATTTTGTCTGTCCCTGTCTCTCTGTCACTGTCTCTGTCTCTGTCTCTGGGTCTCTGTGCAGCAAGCACTCTGTCTGGGGCTCTCCCCTGCCTCGCACTCTACACTCAGCATTTTGCTCTGTGTCGCTTTCGTGTTCTCTCTCTCTCTCTCTTCACACATACCCACTGACATGCCCCTGCTCATTTCCTGCTATAGGGCTGAAAATGAGATGGTAAAATAATTCCAGGCTCTGTGGCTTG